ACTGGGGCAAATCAAAATTACATTTCCTGATACTTAGTCATAGAAATACTCAGACACTTTAACATGGAAAATGCTTTCTCTATATATTGATTTGTATAACCAACTAAAAGCAGTTTATCTCTTATATATAAGGGCTAGCAGGATATTATCATAGTCTTATTTAAGATTATACCAAATCTCCTCTCTCTGCCATAATATAGGTCATAGAGATCTTGATCATATTAATATTCCCATATAAGTGGGAATCAACTGATTCAACACTTGGATTAAATTTTGTTTAGATCTGATCAATGGGAAGTATTTTGGATGGCTAAGCCAGCCAGGATTTCAGCTGATATTATCTGAGYGAAATACAGATCAATAGAGGAGAAGCAGGATGCTGGGTTTAAAGGGATAATGATGAGCTTAGTTTTAGACATGTTGAAGATATTCAGGAGACAGGTGGATTTATTAATTTGGAGTTCAAAAGAACACAAATGACGTGGATCTGGGAAGCACTGGCAAAACAACAAATCATAATTGAAACCATGGAATGAAATACAATAGGATGAAAATACTCGAGATTGAGGAATGTGAAACTTAAAAGATCTGGTCAAAAAGGAGGGGACACTAAAGCAGAATGAAAAGGAGCAGCCCAAGAACCAGGAGGACTTCCTRGCAGCAGAGTGGCCCAGAAGTTAAGGGAAGGGTTTGTAGTGTCATAGAGGAGTCAAGCAAGAGACCAAGAGTGTCCACTGRGGTTTTAGCTCCACAATAGTCCTGGGTGACTTAGGAGTGAGCAACTTCAGTGCAGTGGGATGGGCAAAACTAGTTTGGTGGGGATTGAAGACTTATTGGGGAGTAGTTATAGGAAACTGAAGCTCAGTGATGTTTAATAGCTTGCCCTGGCACATAGGTAGACAGTGAGGTCAGTTTACCAAGACTGGAGATAGAAAAAGCAGCTGACTGGGAAGAGATTTGTTTAAAGGTCAGATATAAACATACTGARTTTGATGTATCTTCATATTGCCAATGCCTAACTTAGTATCTGGTATATTTGTGAATGAGTCATTACAGACCATGTCTTCCATAGACTGTTATTCTTTTATCCTAGTTATTCTTCTTCATAGTGTTGAAAACCACTAACCACAATCAAAGGAAGTATCRACATTGCCAAAACTTCTTTAAAAAGCAGCTCTGTCCACCTGCCCCAAATGACGCAGGATTGTTTAGGAAAAGAGTACAGACCCAGTGCTGAATAGACYTCTGGGCAAATCTGTACCCAGTCACTTAGAGCTGAGAGATCTAGTATATGCTTCTTAGCCCTTATTTTCATGTTTATACATTTTTTTACCATGCCTACTTCTTAGAGGGGTAAATATAAGGATGGCCTTAGGCCTGAGCCTAAGCAACTCCATTTTAAAACTTCAGTTTGAAACCTGCAGTCTCACCAGGCACACCTATGGAGCCCTCCAGTATGGCCCTCAGGCACAAATAATTCACTTCTTCCCACCCTGATAAACTCAAGAGTGAAGCCTCTGGCTTGTTGCCCTATCCCTGATAAGAGYGAGAAGCAAGAAAAATCAGTGTGGGGACCACCAGACCAGATGCTTTAACCTCAGGACGAATGATGTCACTGAAAAATCTYGTAGCAGCTGATAGGGATTGAAGGGACGGTCAGAAGCCCCCAAATTTAGTATAAATGATGGAGCAAATGAACAGACATTCAGCTAACTAACACTGATGCACACAAGGCTGAGAGCCTGATGAGGGTCTAGACTGATATCCCAACTCTTCTCATCTTCCTGATCTTCTGCATTGTTCTCACTGCTCTCAAACTCTATAGCAGCCTCTTGACTCTGGTGAGTAAAGGACTTCTCCCTATGACTGCTTCCTCAGCCAGCTGTCAGCTTCACCCCAGGAGAAGCCTGCCTTGGTTCCTTATCTGATCACCACCTTCTGAGTGAGTGTGCAGCTGCTGACTTAGAGCCTAAGGTTTGAGACTTTTGATCTGACACTTGAGCTTAGCATGCAGAAGGAATGTCTGTCATGACTAAGTGTTTGCTGTGCTTAAAATTAATCTAGAATTGTTTGCTGTGAACTATGTCTATATGTCTAATATGCCTAGCATTAAGAATTGCCATTTTCTTGATTAAGAACCTATAGAGTGAGATCATATTGAGTGATCTGAGTGAATAAACATTGAAAAGGGCAGAAGCATGTGGATATTTTTTTATTTCTCTCCCAGAACTGCATAAGTCACAACTTTGCCCATTGCGACAGTAAGGACAAGATGTGAAAATGAATTATATGAGTAATACATCGCCAGGCCCACCATAAGTGATCAACAGGTTCATTTCTCCCAGCCCAACTAGAGAAGTATGAGGCAGTGCAGAGAAGCTTCACACTCTTCCCACATCCTTTGGGCCTCAGAATTTTAACAGCACAATTTAAATAGAGAACCTGTATGACCTTTGCTTTCTGACTATAAAGTCACCAGTAGTACAGCACAGCAGGTCATTGATCTAGGCTGGCATTGAAACATAAAGCTGGTGAATGAAAGTGAACCTTAAATGGCCTATGAGAATGCCAGGACAAGAGCAAGTGGCTCAATCTGTTGAAGCCACAGTCAATGATGACTCATCACAAATGCCATACCAGGCACCCAAGATAGGCACGAAATACAAGGACATTTCAAACTCCATGTTTACAACTGAAAGGAAGAGGGGCAGAGAAAAAGAAATAATATGAGTTATGTTTAAAAAAACAGTGTAGAGAAACAATTTTCCCTGATGAAGAAACATGATGGATTTTTATTTTTTAAAAAAAGACATGATTGAATTACAAAGATTTTCTGCAAGTAATTTTATCTAGCTAGATCTAAAATTGATCAATCCATAAAGTTGGCCTTTCCAAATAGAGTAGATTTAGCTCAGTAAGAACATTTAAGGCAGTCTCTAAATAATGTGTGGATCTCCATTTATAGTTACTCAGGTTAGTAAACAGGTCTGAGTGCTTAAAATACCAAAAATTAACCAATAGTGTAAGTACCTATAATGTGCAAAAGGGACAAAATCCTGTTAGAGTATGGCAACCCACCTTATCTTCTTGGGCACCTACCAAGAATGTTTGACTCTTTTAGATGACACAGTATTTTACAGAGGGCTCACTGCAACCCAATCATTACTGGCGTTGAGAAAATCAAATGTAGTTCTTGGCCTGTGGTAGGTCTTAACAAATATTTGTCAATAAATAATGTAGTCACATGAGAAAAACAATAGGTGTTACCTGGATCAGTGCTCTTAGGAGATTATTTTCATTTTGTATAATTGCAATTGATTTATTGCACAAATTTGTTATGTGATTTTTATCTCCACAGGGTAGAACTTGAAGAACTATTATCTGGCCTCTTTCATATTTTTTCCCCACTGTTGATGCCTTCTGACTTTAAAAACAAGTTTTATTTTTATGTAGTGTTAGTGGTACTATAAAATTAGTGCAACTTCTTTGGAGATTGATTTCTTGATTTTATTAATTTTTAAAAAGGTAGCCTTTGATTAAGCAATTCTACATCTAGAAACTTCTACTGCACAAAGTTGAATGGACAAGGATGGTTTATAAACTGAGAAATTGGCAATAACTTAAATATCCACAAGAAAGGTTATATAAATTATGATCATCTAGGTAATGGGATACTTTGAAGTTTTTAGAAGAGAATAAGGAAGAGAGTCATGTCTGCCTGTTCCTCAAGGAATCATAAGTGAAAAGAGAAAGGTATGCATGATAGCAATGATAATAATAATAATAACAGTAATCATTGTTATTATAATAACACTTGTAAAGTATTTTACTGTGTTTTAGACACTTTACATTTATTAACTCATTTRATTCTCACCATAATCCTAACAGTGGATATTATTGTTATCATCACTTTATGGAGGAGGAAACTGAAGCACAGTGGTGTCTAATAACTTTCCCAAAGTCACAAAACTAGTATCAGAAGCAAAGCCTGGCTTGAGAATCAGTGTTCTGCCTTAGTTCTATGTTAAAAAAATGTACAAGAATATGTGTATAAACATATATACATATATGTGGATATATTTACTTTTATTATGAGCAGTTACTTATCCTTTTTACAAAATCTATACATTCAAAATATAACATTCTAGTCATTTTTCTGCTGCTGCTAGAATTCAAGGAAGAGATTTGGTCTTTTTCCTTTTTGCTAGTTATAGAGCTACCATTCATTGATTCATCCAACTAAAACATCTGAACCATGGTAGGTGCCCTGGCCAGCTGCTGTTCTCAAGCAGTCCTCTGTCTAGTGGAAGAGAATGACACATAAACATGCAAACCAGAGCCTCTATGCTACATTCTGAATGTGTGTTCCAGAATTTATAGTCAAGCCTTAACTGCCAATGTSATAGTCTTAAGAAGCCTTTAGGAGGGGATTGAATCATGAGGGCTTTGCCCTCAATGTGATGATGCATTAGAAGAGTCTTCACACAGCATTTAACTTTTTTTGACCTTGACCTCCCTGCCATCTGAGGGCATGGTGTTCTTCAGCTGCTGAGGATGCACCATCTCTGAAACAGAGGTCAGCTCTCACCAGACACACCCAACCTGCCAGTGTCTTGGACTTGCTTCTAGAATTGTGAGAAACAGTTTTGTTCTTTATAATTTACCCTGTTGCAGGCCTTTTGTTACAGCAGCATGGACAGAGTGAGGCAATATATAAATGGGGTATACAAAGATGGAACAGGAGGGCCATGAAGGAGAGATAACAATTCTGATAAAGACGTGCCTCAGTCTGGCTGGGCACAAATCACAAGCCACTCAAGCTGGAACAAACTTTATTTCCGAACTCCCAAGAACGCCCSGCATGCGGCCTTCTCCCGGGACACACCACACACCAACCGCAAATCCCTCCTCTGGAAATCCCTCCTCCAGCACTTCCCCAACCAACCAACCCTGCAAGAACTCCAAAGTAGCAAGCCGAGGMAGACAGCAGGGGTCTAATACACAGTTGAATACACAGCTTAACACAACCATCATCATCTCAATGGCTTGCTGGTCACCTCTCAACCACTCCTTTCTGGCAAAGATGCCATGTCATTGGACTGGGCTGTTGCCCTCAACAAAGATGAGGTGAGGGGAAGTAAGAAGGAAGGCTACCCAGAGAAGGGGTAATGTTTTGCCAAATACAGAAGGAGACATAAGAGTTTATCAGGAGACAGTTCTTCACTGGGGTGGGGGAAATAAGAGAAAAATGGCAGTAAAGATACAAAGCAGGAACCCCTGCTGCTGATTTAGCTGCAGCTTAGGAGGGAAATGTGGCTAGTGCCTCTGGAGATGTGGACAGGAGCCACAGCACCTAGGCCTTTGAAGGCCGTGTTAAGAACTTCATGCTGAATACGCTACATCTTCATCCATGTTGTAGCGTATTTTGAATACGCTACAACATGGATGAAGCTTGAACACATTACAATAAGTCAAACAAGCTAGTGACAAAGGGACAAATGCTGCATGACTCCACTTATTTGAGGTACAGAGTATACYGATTCATGGCAATTGAAAGTAGAACACTGGCTACCAGGGGGAGGGAAGGAATGGAGAATGGGGATGATTATTTCTGTCTGAGATGGTGAAAAAGTTCGAGGATGGATTTTATGGTGATGGTTACACAACAATGCAAATATACTTAATGCCAGTAAAAATGATTAAGTGATACATTTGTTATGTATATGTTACCAGTTTGGAAAATAGTGAAAAAGGAAACAAAACACACACAGACCTAGCATTCAGGGAAACCAATTTGAAGTTCTTTCCTATTATTAAAATTAGATGTGAACAAAATGTGATTTCTTTGCTACTGTTCCATAATGATGTTACTATGTATTGAAAACAAGCTCTGTGCCAGCTTTATGTCATAGAGAAGGGAAGATGCAGGTTTAGAGAGGTTATCTAACTGACCCCAAAACACACAGCTGGGAGCAGGGGACATTCTAAGAAATTCTAGAATTACAACTGAAGTCTTTTAGACTGCAAACACCTTACACTCTTATCAATTCCCAAGGGGCTTGATTATCTTGCTACTTTTTTGGATATGTCAACATCTTTCTTAAAAAAAAAAATTCCTCCTCAAATCTTCAGAGAAAGAATTGCTTCAGTGTATTCTGAGTTTAGAAAAGTATGAGAAGTCTGAGGCCTTGCAGAATGAAATGTTTGTTGTGTGCTTACTGTTTAGTGACATCTGATAGTTTTAAAATGGCTTGGACCCCTTGTAAGAGAGATAAAAACAAAAACACCCAAACCACCTCCACAAACCAAACCACATTCAAATTGAGTCTAGACTCAACAAACCATCACTACTCGGCCAGCCACCTGTTACAGCGAGGGGTCGGCACTCTCTTTGCGGCAGTAATCTGGAGAATACGGCGGCTAGCCCGGGCGGCCCGCCTCGCACATTCCAGGTACACAGCCCGCAGAGACCCCTGCACGTGCTCCTGCGCAGGCGCAGGCCCACTGTGTAGCTTTCATCCAGGGCCGCCTGGTACTCCAGTGCCCCCGAGTGGCTTCTGCCTCTGCGCGCCGGGCTCGGGGTCGTCGCTGCCCCTTCTCCAGGTCCTCCGTAGCCCCTGCCCTGGCCAAGCCTGGCGTCCACTCCCCTCTAACCCTGCATTGCACAATGTGGGAGCAAAGTCCCCGAGGGTGTGAACCCGGCTTTCCCTGCCCCTGGGCGGGGACGCGCGGCGGCTGTGCAGGCAGCGGAGCCAGCGAGCTTGCTGTCGGCGCGATCCGCAGGCCCCGACCCCGCGAGTTCCCCGCAAGCCGCGGCCGCAAACCCCCGCGCCGCTAGGCTCCGCCGCCAGGCCCGCCCGCCGCTCCCCTCACAGGCCCGCGCCGCCGCCGCAGCCATGGCGGAAGTCCATAGACGTCAGCATGCTCGGGTTAAAGGAGAAGCCCCCGCGAAATCCTCCACACACAGAGATGAGGAGGAGCTGGGGATGGCGTCGGCCGAAACGCTGACCGTGTTCCTGAAGCTGCTGGCCGCCGGCTTCTACGGCGTGAGCTCCTTCCTGATCGTGGTGGTGAACAAGAGCGTGCTCACCAACTACAGGTAGGGCCGCGGCGGCGCCGGCCGAGGCCGCGAGGAGGAGCGGGCGGCGGCGCAGGCTCCCTGGACTTTGGTTGCCAAAGTTGAAGCGGAGTAAAGTTGGGCGGGATCCGGGGGAGGGTGGCGGCGGGGCCGCGCCGGCCGGGGCTGGGTCCGGCTCCGCACGCGGAGCTCCAGACAGCCGCGCGCTCCGGGCCGCCTTCTGCAGTGTCTGCCATGCCCTGGGTGCAGCGCCCTCCCTGAACATCCTGCCTTTSGTTGCCTGGAGCAAAGTTGCTTGGTGACTTTAGGGGCCCTGTGCTTGCCTGCGGGGAAGCGAGCGTGAGATGCGCTCCTTCCTCCGCAGCCTGTCCCCGCGCTGCTGACAGCCTCTGGGGACGTGCGCATCTTCACGCCCATTTACGATTATTCTGCTGCTGTCACGGGGACTTGGAGCAGAAGCTTTTTTTTTTTTTTTTTAAGATGTGAAGCCGTTGAAAAGATCTGTTTCTTAACTTCCTTGAAAAATCCGTTGCAAGCAGCCTACCGAAATTGTAGAATCGGACAAGATGAGACAAGTGGCCGCCCGAGGCTATAAAATCAGCGGTATGGCCTCATAACCCGCAGGAATTTTTTTTTTCTCACAAGATTTTTATTTGAATAAAGGACAGATGTTGGTGTGGATTTGTATCAAAAGACATTTTAAGGTTGTCGGTGCAAAAGTTGAATTCACAGAGCTATGTTTGGGTTTTCTGACTTTTTTCTTTTCTTTCTTTCTTTGCCCTTTTTATAGATTTCCCTCCTCGCTATGTGTTGGACTTGGCCAGGTTAGTTGGAATCTTCAGCATTACATGGTTTTATGTTGTCAGAACTTCTCTGTGTGTCTTTATATGTAGAACAGTGCATCTGTGTTCTCTGTTTACAGATGGTGGCTACAGTGGCAGTTCTCTGGGTGGGAAAGGCATTCAGAGTAGTCAAGTTTCCTGACTTTGACAGAAATGTACCTCGAAAGGTAAAAGATTTTTTTTTTTTAAAGTAGTACTTTGTTTTATGAGAAGGAGTCACTGTATTTTTTTTAATCCCAGCCTTGCATATTTAAAAACTAACTCTAACGAAATCCACATCTAGATAGAGCACATGTTATGAAGTTAAAGAATAAATGCAGTAATGTGTGTTAGAGAAGTTCACAGTCTCTGTAAAATTAAGGAAGAAAAAAACCCCAGGAATCTTTTTTGTTTTAATTAATGCTCACTTGTTGGGAGTGCAACAGTTCTGCAGTTTCTATATCCATCTAATCTAGCCAGTGTATCCTGCATTCATTATTCTTGGGTTTATTTTCATGTTCTTCTGTCTGCCTCTGCTTGACTCCACATCAAGATAAAATGCCTACCTTTTTCTGCTGATATTAGAGCCATGTGCTAATACATTATCATATTTTAAAGCAAATTGTGTTTCTGTTCTACATTGGTCAATCATTTTCATATTTCTTTTCTTCCCTGTCTTCCTCCCTCGCTTTCTGCCAGTTTAGTGTTGTGTCTCAGAGAATAGTTAATATTGTTTGGGTGTTTCCTGGGGCTCAGAATTGTTTATGAGAAGTAATCTTAAGTTTCAAGTGGAAAGAATTTGATCATAAAAGCAAAACTGTTTCTGTTTGAAAGGACCTTGTTTTAGCTATCTTTATTATTGAGTTTTGTTATCCCTTTTTAAATTTTCTAGACGTTTCCACTACCTCTACTATATTTTGGGAACCAAATCACGGGACTGTTCAGCACAAAGAAACTGAAGTATGGATAACTTTATTTTACTAGTGAGGTTAATATAATGTGTTCTTAAAGTTGTATGTAAATGTCAAATACTTAATGCATTGTTACTGATTCTGGAAAAAATGGAAGGACTAGAAAGTTTTTGTTACTAAATAATGAAGGTTGCACTGAAGGCTTTAGTGTAAGCTCATTTCTTTTGAAGAGAAAGAATAGTTGCTTTATCCTGTCTCATTTTGATGTTAGAGGTATTTAAGATGTTATAAAATGCTATGATAGGGGATTTTCATTATTTTCCCAGACCTGCAGTAGTGAGAGAGAAAAGGCTTCTGGGATTTCTATTCATTAATATAGTTAATTAGTACTATATTTTAGGCAGATTCCACACAGCAAAAAAGGATGGAAATGAGAACTTTCAGTTTTTCTTCTCACATGAAATAGTTAAAATGAGATGGAACCCTGATAATAAATATGATTAATATCTTACCCACTGCCATGTAATTATAGAGGCAGCATCTTTACTTTTAGAAAGAAGCAGTAGCTCTCTCTGACTACATTGTCTATTACCCTCTAACCTTCCAGTTCCTGGCTTCTCCCCTTTGTGGTTTGTGATGTTCCACAGACACCCATAGGAAAATAGTTTGACAGAAACCCATGGCTCCACTACTTCCACATGAGCTGAAGCTCTGGCATTTTGGATAATCATGAGTAGTGAGATCTCTTGAGAATCAGTGGCATATCATTTTTCATTTCCTCCTTTTTTTAAAGCAAGTAACCTGACAGGATGGCCAGGGGTATCTCTGGGGAGAGTTCCAAGTGAGACAGATTTATTGTCATGGGTGGGGCATTCTTTTCCATCTCATTACCCCACTTGGAAAGAAATGAAGGTCTGCTGTGAAATGCTGCTTATAGTTTGCTTTTTTTTCATCCATTGCCTGCCATCCATCCATCCATCCATCCCCTACCTTTGTTTGCCAGCTAAATAAAAGGCACTTTGTAATGAGATAAGACATATTCAGAAATAACCATATGTTTATTAGTACAAGCAAAATGATCTAGGAATTTAATGGAAGACTTTCACAAAAGGACAAGCAAGGAATGCTTTATGGGGTAAGATTTTCCTAGGTGTTTTGGGGTGATCTAGTGAAGAAAGGTGATATAGGCCCTTTTACATTCAAGACTAACATCTGTATATCAGGATGTTTGCATACTTAGCAAAGTAAAATTTAAAAATACATGTATTATTTATGATGTATGATTTTTACCATTGTAAAAATTAATGTTTCTCACTTTTAGTAGTTTTTTAAAAGCAACTTTTTTAGCTTTTTAAATCATTTATTTCTAGAGAGAAGTAAGGATTTAATTTAATCAGAAGTTAATCAGCATGGAATTTCCATAGGAAAGGAAATGATTAGCATTATTTTAAATTACCAATTTGAAAAATCTTGGTTTAAAAAAATAAATTGAACTTTATTTTACCTAATCATCTTTGTTTTTGCAGCTTACCAATGTTTACAGTTTTAAGAAGGTTCTCCATCCTGTTTACAATGTTTGCTGAAGGAGTTTTACTCAAGTGAGCAAAATTTCTAATACATCTTTTCTTTAAACAACTTAAAGCACCTTGAATAGGTGCCCAGCATATGTGAGATATTAAAATTWTTTGTCTTGGTTCTACTTCAGCTCTTGAGAAGTTTAAATTCTTTCCTTGCCATCAAATTGATAGTTTGTGGGAGCAGTAGTTGGGAAGGTTAAACGAGTTGGAAACCTATCTGAACTTGAGTTTTAATTTTCTACAGTTTCTGTTGTCTACTGCTGCCACTGAGTGAAGCTGGGTCAGAATCACAGTTCTAGGTTTCAAATAGCATTTATATCTTTTACTGAAAATGTGTGTTTCCTACTTAAAAAAATCCTGACTTATAAAAATGCCAACTCAATAACAAATGGTAAGAATAAGAAAAATGACTGCAATTAATTACATAGCAAATTGAGTTTTTGCTTCATCAATGAGATTCTTTTAAACATCCAGTTCCTTGGAAATATTTAAAATACAATTGTTTATGTTTTTTGCCTGTTATGAAATGTGTCTGTACGAATAATAAAGTCACATATATATATATATATATTTTAATTATCTTATTTTGTAGGAAGACTTTTTCTTGGGGTATTCAGATGACCGTATTTGCAATGATTATTGGAGCCTTTGTAGCTGCCAGGTAAGATGAGGGCCTATAGATAGCATATTAAAAATTGTCAATACATTTTGATAATAAATGATCAGTTACCAATCAGAATAATTTTTTTGTAGCCTAAGTAAAAGTCGTGTCTTCTTCAGAAGTTAAATCTTTGGCTGTGTTAAGGTCAAGGCTGGCAAAATTCAAATTTTGGGGATTCTTAAATTCATGTAATTTAGGATTTGTTATTCTCTTGTACTTACTGAGTACATACTGTGTGCCACAAAATATTTTCAGCATTGAGCACATTATTTATTCTTCATAGTGCTGAATGGTATGGGTATAATTTTCCTACTTTATAGTTAAAGGAAACTTAAAGTTCTATACTTGCTCAAGGTCGCACTGCTAATAAATGCTGGAATTTGAATGTGTGCCTGAATTCAGAGCCTATGCGATTTCATAAACCATGTGGCATTCTTTTACTTTGCAAATTTTTAAAGAAAATGGTGTCTGCTCTTTTGTGAGGTGAGGCAAATGACAATGAATACCTTGACTTATGGAATAATGAATAATATCATTGCTTTATTTGGCCTCACTTAAGATACATTACAGATGTCATTACTTAGTCTTATTAGATTACTGGAACATTCCCCCTTTTTATAAAAGTTCTAGTTTTAAAGTGTATGAGGAAAATACAAAGCAATGATAAATGTTTAAGGAGATGACTATGCTAATTGTTCCGATTTGATCATTACACATTGTGTATGTATAGAATTATCACACTATACACCCAAAATATACATGATTATTTTGCTGCAGTTTAAAAATAAATAAAGAAAAAAAATTACATGGGGAAAATGTATACCCAAAGACAGAAAATGAAAATGATCACTAGAAGCCTGATACATTTTACTCAGCCCTGGGCATGCATAGATGGATTTACTGATGTCACAGATTCTACCTGACATACATTTTCATCTGGGTATTCCAATGGATGGCTCATTTACTTTCATCATATCCCTGTGGTGTAACTAGGGGGAAGTATAATTTAAATTCTATTTTATCTTACATCTCCAAGTGAAATTTCATTCTAAAAAAGAGAGGGTGGCAAAATTTGTTACCAGAATTTGGTTTTATAGCCAAATGTTGTATTTGTCTCCTTGGAGAAAAATTCTACACCAGGTATCTGCCTTTCTTTTTAAAGGTGTTCTGCTAACCTCTGAACATTTTGAAGCATTTCCTTGAAGCCAGTGAGATCCAAAATTGTACAACAGGTTTATTCAGGACTCACTTTGGCCTGCAGAAAGCTTTGAGGAGGGTTTCTAACTAGCCCTGCTTAATTAGAACCTTTGGCTTGTGAAAAAGATGGAGAAGAAGAGAACCTGAAGTTAGAGTGTTGCCAGATGCTTGGATTAGGGGTGTGCATTAGGCTAGTCCTGTCTGAAACTGCAGCAGTATGCAGCTCCTCAGGTTTTGGTTCCATTTAGAAGTTCAGCTACAAGCATTGTCGTGACTCTGCAAAGTCATAGAATGTGAGGCCACCATTTTGGCTGGGGTGCTAAAGTACCATGAAGGCATACTTTGCTTAGATTATTCATTTATTCTATTAAATTTACAGATTTCTTATCTTGTGCTTACTACCCTATTAAGTAGCAGAGATTTTCAATTTCCCCAGTCTCACTAGTTTTACCTCATTGAGTAAGTATTTGAGTTCCTACTATGTGCCCTCTCACAACTTACTGTGATCCATACTTCAGAAATTCTGCCCAACTACCTGTGGAAGTTAGTCCCATCTTTTGCGTGAACTTTTTGAAAAATGATATGTTAAGAACTTTTGATTTCCTTATTTGTGAGATTGATGCCTTCTGCCTGATTTGGTCTGACTTTGAATTCAGAACAGTTTATTATTAACTGGCATGATTGATTATTCCTTATGATGTGTTTAAGCATTAGTGTTTTTGTTTCTAAAATAATCCCTATTGAGTATGGAATTGCCAACTGTGACCAGGACTCAAGAAATACTAGTAGCTGATAAAATAACCTAATGTTCATTTAGCTGGAAAAGAAATGTTCTTGCAAATATTGTAGTTCAGACCTATTAAAAATTAAGTGCATGTTCTTTAAATCTAACTTATTCTTAAAGTTTTGCTTATGTTTTACAGCTCTGACTTGGCATTTGATCTGGAAGGATATGTTTTTATTCTGATAAACGATGTACTGACAGCAGCAAATGGTGCATACRTAAAACAAAAATTAGATTCAAAAGTAGGTAGCTATCTAAAACTTCTTTATTAGATATTTACTGATGTTGGGAATGGTAATAGCAATTCATCAGGGTAAAAAGTATGGAATAAAGAAAAATACTTAGAAGGGATGGGAGAGACATGGGGGTTCTCTGAGGGTAAATGCCTATATTCTGGTGTTCACATAAGAAAGTTTTTAAATTAGCAGTTAGGTTTATTGATGGCTTTTGGGAAGGGATTATGGGAATATTGACTTAGAGTGGGGTAGGAAGGTTACAAAGTTCATAGAGAAAAATGTCATAAATGCTCATGGCTCTGTTCTGAAGATACTTGGTGAGGGACCTGGAACAAGAGAAATATCCTGAAGCCTTTGGGCAATCTTGAAGGGAAGTGAGTGTTGGAAGGCGCTTGCAGAACAGGATGACCTTTGTGTACTTGCCCGACAAATGGTAGGAATCCTGAGGAAGCATTAGTTTCTCGCTCCCTCAGGGGTACTGCTGAGTTTCCTGGCTTGGATCTCATACGTGACCTTTGTACATCYAGCTCTTTGCCTTCTATTGGTGGCATGGACATGAAGGCATTTCAGAATATTTTTTGTTTGTTTGCTATATACTTTGAGTATGCAAACATTAAATTTATTTTCAGATCAAGCCAGACCATCAGAAAGCTGAGTATTTGACCCACAATTCTTTTGATACATTATGAGGTTGTATTACAGTAAAAAACAGGTATATAGAACTCAGTTTGCTGCATCATAGGGTTGTTTTTGAAGGAGTTGTTCTTGATTTCATAATGTATCCTAGGTGAGTACCCATATGAGATTTTTATCTTAGATGTTACCATAGTTTTTCCTGAGCAGCTGGTATGTTTTTATCTCATAATTTAGTCTTRTAACTGATGATGGTTTTATCTTATTTTCTACCCGTGTTTTATCTTCAGTCAGATGATCTTTTCTGCTTAGTTCTTTTTTTTTAATATTTATTTTTTAGTTGTAGTTGGATACAATATCTTTATTTTATTTATTTATTYTTATGTGGTGCTGAGGATTGAACCCAGGGCCTTGCACATGCTAGGCGAGTGCTCTACTGCTGAGCCACAATCCCCTGTTCTGCTTAGTTCGTACTCTGCTATATTATACTTACAATATTTCTGAAATTACTTCAGGTCTTTTTTTGAAATTCAGATGATAAATATATATAAATATCCTGTTCAATAGTTATAATAGTATTGAGTTGGAATCCTTTTGGCCAGGGCTTTGCCTTCTCCTCCAGAGAATTACAGATTGTGTGATTATCCCATTCATTATTCTCAGAGAATTTTTTTWAAAAAAATATCCTTGAAGAACTAGGGACAGTATAGATTTTTTTCCTATACATTTTCTCTAAGTATGCCTTTTATGTCTCATCCTTCATTTATTTGCCTGATGACTGTATGATGATTGCATTTCAAAGGAAGATGCTAGTAAACATTTTTGCCTTTTTTAAGTAAAGAGAGCAGATAGAAGTTTGGTCTTACTCTGGTGTGTGTGTGTGTATGTTTCCTTTTAATCCATTTACTGCTTTGGAGAATAAATACTAATTAAAACATTTATCCAGCAGCTTCAATTGTCTGAAGCAATGCTGTCCAATAGAATTTCTTTTGATGTTGGAAGTCTTCTTTATCTCTCTCTGCTGTTTTTTACTAATAGCCACGAGACATATGTGGATATTGAACATTTAAAAAGTGACAGATATAATTGAGGAACTGAATTGGAAGCTTTATGTAATTATAATTAACTTTAAATAGCTACATGTGGCTAGTGGCTACTATTTTTGAACAGTGCAGTCTAGAATACATCCTAGAACCTAGGGGGAAAAAAAGTTCAGAGTATTTTACTCCTAGGAGAGACATTTAGTTCCTCACTTAGAAATGACTTAGAACTTATTTACGTTAGAACTTTTAAGCTCATTGATCTGCTTTTCATTTCATGGATTACAATCAGCAAACTAGAAGTGGCGTTCTGTTTAGAGGCAAAGGCTTGCCAATAGTGTAAAAGATAATCTGCAACAAGAGAAACAGAAAGAAAAACTCTGAAACAGACACAAATACTGATGAAAAAAATAGCACAGGAGCAATTAAACAGCATTAAGGGCAGCACTGTATGAGAACATGCTATAGTAATGTGTGTTTATGATGATGCCCTAAGTAAAATTTAGTTGGTGAACTGTGTTTAAGAAGTTTGGGAGAGTTAGGCTTGGTAGTACATGCCTGTAATCCCAGCAGCTCAGGAGTCTGAGGAGGAGAATCACAGGTTTAAGGCTAGCCTCAGCAACTTAATGAGACCTGGTCTTAAAATAAAAAAATAATAAACTATGAGGGTGTAGCTCAATGGTAAAGCACCTCTGGATTCAATCCCCAGTAACAAAAAAAAAAAAAAAAAAAAAAATTCAGGAGTCGGGAAGAAAGATACTCAAAACAGGGCTGAGGTTGTGGCTCAGTGGTAGAGCACTTGGCTAGTACTTGTGAGGCACTGGGTTTGATCCTCAGCACTGCATAAAAATAAATAAATAAATAAATAAAAGCATTGTGTCCATCTACAACTAAAAAATATTTTAAAAAGTACTCAAACAGTTAAAATGTGAAAAGAAAACAGTTTTGGCATTTCTATTTTTGTTATTTGTCAGTTATGTGAATGATGTGGATCATTTGTTTGCTTCTATATACATTCTCCATTCCTGGATAGCACATGTCTCTGGCTGACTGGGCACCTATTCTTAAAGATTGGTTTGTTTCTCTATGGCTTTTTGCTTGCTGCCATACAAAATGAGGTCCACTTTTCAGTTTTACTTGTGACCATAAACAATTAATTATTTGGTTTATCCTAGTATGGCCAACACGGAGATACTTTAAATAAATCATAAATTTTATTACCTATAATTTCAGGACTACTTATAATCCTGGTCCTGTGAACGTGAATCATACAGCATAAAGCTTAGTGCTGCATTTCAGACTTGAACGCATCTGTTGAAATTAAAGCCTTTTTAACTTAAGAAAGTCACACAAAATCATACATCGTTGTCGTTGTTGTTGTTGTTGTTATTATTATTATTATTATTATTATCATCCTAGGAGCTGGGGAAATATGGTCTCCTCTATTACAACGCACTGTTCATGATTCTGCCCACCCTGGCCATTGCATATTTCACAGGAGATGCACAAAAGGTAGGACTTTCTAATTATGGTTAAATGGCTTATGTTGATGAATTACTTTATTGTTTTTGACCAAAAAAAATAGACTGTGGGGTTGTTAAAAAGAAATGTGCTTATTAAGTAACCACACACTGAGAATTTACTCTTTAGTTTACTTATGTCATGCTAACTTCCTTCTTGGCATAAGTGCTGGAGAGTACTAAGGTGCCTCAAAATAGCTCTTGTCAACATAAAAATAGTACATGCTAACTAGTGTCCTTTTCATATATGCCAGAATAGAGGAAGGGAATTTTTACATTTTTATTAAACTATAAAATAGGAATCTTAGCAAACTATCCTTGAGAAGCAAAAGAATCTTGAAATAGTAAAAACTTCAAAACCCTAAGCAAGATTCTAGGCATCACTAGAATTGTCATCTGRCTTAAATTCCAAGTTGTTTTTTTTTCCTTAGGAGATACTTATTACCATGTGGTGCCATGACCATATAAATAGAAACTAATGTTGGTAACCAATTTCTGCAAATGTTTAGTTAAGTAAATCCAAAATAGAGTACTAAAGTAAATCTAGAGAAGAATTTTTCTCTAAAATAAACCTGTATTCCTAGGGAAAAAGTTAATTCCATATTGTTAGAATTTGTAACATTTTGCAAATCAAATTGAAATTCAGAATCCTACCAAGGATTTCTGTCCCAGATTCTTTCTGATAATCCCCCTGGCTAGTACTTCATCAAATACTTATTACTCAATCATTCTTTTTTTTTTTTTTTTTTTTTTAAGAAAGAGTGAGAGAGAGGGAAAGAGTGGGAGAGAGAATTTTTTAATATTTATTTTTTAGTATTTGGCGGACACAACATCTTTGTATGTGGTGCTGAGGATGGAACAGATGTGTAAAGTTCTATGATGTGACCTGAGTACTAGAAGATCTAGAAATGGCCCTCAAGTAGGAAACAGAGCTAACTGCTCTGACCAGTTGTGATGAGTAAATTTCTGTGACTGTGAAGAAAATGGTAGGAAAAACTAGCATTTTTTGAATCTGTATTATCTGCTAGTTGCTTTCTATATATAACATAATAGCTTAGAAAGTTTACATTATCTCTAGTTTACTAATGTGAGAGTAGAGGTTCAGAGAAAGTACCAAAGCCATACTAAGGGGTAAGGGGTATAGGGTGGGGGGATGGGGGGTAGTAGGATCAGAATTTAAACCCAAGCCTTATAGCAAAGACTAGGGTCTTTCCACAGTGGTCTGCTTCCTCCTAGCAAGACCCTGACTGAAGYACCCTTTACTCTTTGGAGTAAGAATGTGATGTAAAATGACCAGCCCCTAATGGCAAGATGGTTCCAATTCTTTAGGCCAATTTGTATATGAGAAAGTTAGAAGAATTAATATGGTTAGGTATTCTAAGGACCTAGCAAAGACAGAATTTTCATTATATTAAAACTTTGACCAATAGCTTGTAGCTATTTGAAAAAATTGACCAAAGGAGACATTTCTTCATTCCAGAATGATGACAATTTATGTAAAAAGTTATAATTTGCACATTTTGAAATTCAGTAACTCACATTCATTTTGAAATGCTTTAGTGTAGTTAAGAATGTTTATTCATAGTGTGAAAATTTGCTTTGTCACCTATGTTAGATCTAGTTTTCCTCTTATTCTTTCCTTCCATTTCTAAGCAGAAGAGTAGAATTTTGTATAATAGTCTTTTGTTTTTCTAATAAAAGTGCCAGGCAAAGTCAAGAAAGGTTTATTTTAGAAGAATAATGATTTTGAAGAATGTCAGTTCATTTAAATATTTTCCAGTTAGAATGATAAACTAATTTTAGAAATTGAACTCATTGTTTTATAGTGAAACTCCATCATTATTTTGGATTTTGTATAAATGTTTATTCTCATTCTTATTACTAATAAAACATTTATTGTGGTACAAATGGATATTGGCTTTCTTACAATCCCATGCTCTTTTTCTAAACATTCTTTCCTTAACATCTTCTCCATCTCAACATTCTCATATAGTTAAAGACTATTGTATATCTCACTGTGTTAKACTCAGAAAATAAGAAAAAAGAAGCTGCAATAAAATGGTATCGTCTTTAAAGACCATACCATCTTATTAGGGAGCAGACTTGCCATTCTAAGAGCAACATACTCCTTACGGTTTAGATATAAGGTATCCCCCAAAAGCCTAGGTATGAGACAATATCAAAGTGCATGCCTATTAGTAAGTACTATGAGTATTCAGGTTAGGAAGAAAATGGTGTGAGTTAAGTATCAATAATTGTTGTTTAATGAGGTAGTTCTTGTTTTCTTTTTTAATTTTTTTTTTTTAGTCGTAGATGGACACAATGCCTTTATTTATTTGTTTGTTTAGTTATTTATTTATTATGTGGTGCTGAGAATCGAACCCAGTGCCTCACACTGGGTTTGATCTTTTTTTTTTTTTTTTCCTTTTCAATTCTTAGAAGAGCATCTGTTACATAATAAGCACTTAATATATATTCTTCGAAATAGCAGTGATTCTGTAACTGTAGGCAGGTAGGATGTGACTGGAGGAGGTGGGTCACTGGGGGTGTGCCTTGCCTTGGGGGCTTTTCTTTTTTCCTTGTATAGGAGCTCTTCCTCTTGACCACTCCTGAGCTGTTTCCCTCCACTGCACTCTTCTGCCATGATGTTCTGCCTCACCTCAGGCCCAGAAACATGGAACTGGCCATGTATGAACTGGYCATGTATGTATGAGTGCTGGMAGGTACTCTACCACTGAGCCACAATCCCAGCCCAGTTCTTGTTTTCTTAACCACCAAATGCAATAAGCAGTGTTAGCCTGTTTTGGGGCTTGTTTTAGAGACAAGACTTACAAAGGTGGTTGAGTGATTATTTTTTTATTTAAAACAGTCTATATGTAGTAGGTGGAAGCCTACATAACCCAGCGTGTCCAGGAGGTTCATAGTGTTCTACAAGAGGTCTGAGGTTTAGTTTTTCCACTGGAGGATTGATTTTCACAGTAGACAGTGGTTTGTTTGTCTGAAGCCTTATCTAAAAGGGTTTGCATTAAAGAATGGGATATGTGGTAAGGTAAGAGTTTTCTCTGTTCTTTCAAAGACCATATTAAGTGCTTATTATGTGTCAGATGTTCTTCTAAGAGTCTGATTCATTGTCAGATTGTCAGTGTGCTTTTCTTCCTACATGTGCATATGTACATTTGGACAAACATGAGTGTTTATGCATACATTTTTAAATGAGGCTGTTGCCAAAAAACAATTTAAGACTGTTTCTGGCCGTTAGTATACTTTTCCTATTTGGTATGATGCCTTCTACCTGACAAGATACTTCAACATAAATAATTTCCCCTGATCTTTGTTACATACCTCTGTAGTAGGTTGTTATCTGTTTTTCAGATGCTAGAAACATGCTCAAGCCCAGTTGGCAAGGTTCAGAACTAGAACCGGTCTGGCTCCAGAACCCTTGCTTTTTGCCTGAGTACRTGTATCTCCCAAAACCATCTGCTGTCCCTGACTTACATTTTCCATTTGGGACTTCATGCAGGGACTTCTTGTAGGACAAGCCCTCAAATGTGAGAAATAACTCAGTGGTGGTTAAAAGAGTAGTATTAGAAGTAGTCAGCAACTTGTCCTTGTCATTAATTATTTACAAACAATCACTGTTCTTTCAAAGACCATATTAAGTGCTTATTATGTGTCAGATGCTCTTCTAAGAATTGAAAAGTAAAAAAAAAAAAAAAAAAAAAACAACAAAGACCAAGGTCTTTGCTTTAATTGTGCTTGGATTCCAGTGGGGTGAGATAGACTACACATAAATTATATACTAAGAGCAATGAAGAGAAGTAGAGCATGAGGAGAATGAAGGGAAATGCTGTTTTTTAGTAAGTTAGCTAAGAAAGATGTCTTTACAAGATTCATTTAAGCAGACATGAACTGAATGGATTGAGAAACCAATTTGTGTGGCTTTTTGGAGAGGAAGTAATCTAGATCTAGGTTGAGGAAAAAGCATGTTCTGAATCCTGAGAAATGAGCTCTTAGCATTTTCTGAATGGGTACATATCAGGGAAAGCCAAGGTGGACCTTGAGAAAGAAAGGTGGAAGAGGATAAATGAAAGGTGTGTTCCAGGCAGAACTAAGCATGAGCACAGGCATAGATGCAAGTGTTGTTAGAAGATAGAAGTGTAAGACTTGGAGAGGCCTTGGAGAGCATCTGGTTCAAACGTTTTATTTCATAAATGAGGAAATAGGGGCCAGAGAGGACCCAGGTCTAGATTTCCCAGATTTCCTGATTGTAAGACTAGTGCTGTCATTCTTCTCATTATATCACACCCTGTTTCCTTCTAAATTAGAACCAGTGCTAGACATAGGAATTTGAAATTTACTCTCCAAGTAGTAACAAGTCCTTAAAAGCTAGTGATATAAGTGGTACAATGAAGAGAAATTTGGGCCTACGTGCAGAAAACCAGCAACCTCCAGGTCTGTCCCCATGCACTAGCTGATTTTGGATAAGTCCTTCTGCTCTCCCACTCTGCTTTGTCATGTATAAAATGGGGAGGTTGGGATAAAATGTTCTCAAAGTAGGTCCTTTTCTGGGAAGAGACAGAATTTATGAGCAGTAAAAGTCATATTGGTGTGGACACTACTAGGCTGCTGTCCTCCCAGCTGGCCTGAATCTAGTGCTCCCAGATAATCAGTGCTGATCAACTGCTTTCATCTGTGGGACTCCTGGCTCTCCTGAGCTTAGGCCACTTATTGCATGGAAGCTCTCTTTGTATTGAATGAAAAGATCTCCATGATGAGTGGTTAAATGTAAAAGCATGGTGCAAAGGGTAGGCTTTCTTTGAGTCAAATGAAATGAAAAATAAGACACACATAGTTTATTCACTTATTTCAATAAAGGAACTGGAAAAATTATATATGAAACTAATAAAGTAACCATCAATTTTTGTGTTTGTGTGTGGGAATAGGTATATAGAAAAGAATGAAGGGACACTTCCAAACTCTTCATTTTTCTGA